CCTCCGTCCCAGCCCCTCGCGCTCTAGAGAGCACACATTTCAGAAGCAGCTGCCGGGTGCCCTCCTCTCTGCTCTCTCTTTCCCATGAACAAATGTCACAAGTCCCACAACAGCGGAGGAGGAAATATGTGACAAAGAGAAGACCCAACAACTCTAAGCCCTTGGAGCTGGAAGTCCCGCACCAGTCCTTCTGAACGGGAGCCCATCTGTGAATGTCCCCAAAGCAGCCCAGGCACTGGCCATGAGGTGGGGGGCAGGGGGCAGAAGTAAGAAAGCCTAAGAGGGGCGGCGCTAGGCGGCACTCAGTACTTGGCACTTGGCACTCAGCACTCAGCACTTGGCACTCAGCACTCAGCACTTGGCACTCAGCACTCAGCTGGCTATACGGAGCCTATGTGCAGTTAATGGCACTTTCTCATTAAGCATTGTTAGAAATGGGGTAGCTCTTCCTTGCTACGTTCTATGCCATCTGTTCCTACGCACTGAGATCACCAGTGAAACCTGGCTGGCTTCAGTCTGGAGAAGCATGGGCCATTGCTGGGGGCAGCACTCCCAGGGCAGGCTCGGGAGCCAGCTGTCCAGGCCTGTACCAGGGATTCTTCTGGGAAGGCAGAGGTGAGAAGAGAGGTCCTCTCTTCCCAGCAGGTGCGCCATGGCGGCTTTCCTCATTAGCAGGAGCACTCCCGGTGTCTCTGGTGTGCACACGTGCTGGGGTGTGCTCGGGAAATCAGTTCCTGAGCTGAGATGCAGCCACTCCAGCTGGTGCTGGCCTCTTGAGGCCCAGCGGTGCTAATGACGTGGTCTGACTTCATGCAGAGGAAAGTAGACAGGAGGCCTGTTCCCACGTGGGCCCACAGGGAACATTCCTTTGGAAGACGGTGAAACTTTGCAAATGTTAGCTGAGCGAGCCTCTTTAACCAAGACCCAGGCTCTGCAATGGGCCCTTGGGATTCAGATGTGGACAACCTGTTCCTGCCCTCCCTGTGTCCAGCAGAGGTGACAGACAGACACAGCCACACCCAATCTGGCATGGGAAGTGCTGCAGTAGAGGCCAGTGCCAGGCCTGAGGAGAGCAAAGAACCCAGACTGAAGGGAGGAAGCACTTCCCTAGGGAAGGAGCCGCTCTGCTGTTTCTTGGAAGGACGCAGGTGGAAGGGGGGACACGGACACTCAGTGCCATGTGCCGAGCACTATGCTGGGCATGCCCCCCTCCTCTTGTCTCTTGACCTCCTCTATAGAAGGGGCACCAAGGCTCGGAGAGGGCACCTGGCTGGCCTGCCATGGGAGCTGCCCGAGCCTCTGCTGTGCCACGCTGCCCACCCCTTGCCAGGGCTGAAGAAAAGATGCTCCAGGCTTTGTGGACCATGTTTTCTAATCTCTGTACTGGGTGCTTTGACATCTGGGGACTTGCTGACCTGGAAGGGACTGCCCCTACCATGGGTTAGCTGACCTCAGAGAAAGCAAATGATGCGGCCAGGAGCAAGTGTGAGCTCTCCCCTTCCAGGGTGCTAGTCCCCCGCCCTGATCACCCCAGAGCCAGACACCGAGCGGCTGGGGGCAGCGCCTGTGCGCCCCCCAGCTCTCTGCAATCACTCAAGCCAGCTAATCCTGAGCCCGCTAACTCCCCCTCACCCGCTCCTTCCCATGGAAACCACACGAAAGGCTCTTGCCCACGTATTCCCTGCTGCCTCTGCCACCAGGCAACCCTGGTTCTTCCTGTGTGGTGAGGTGCGCCCACCCCCGGCCCGGGATCCGTCGCAGCTACCTTTTCAGTAGCAGTCGTCTCCTGATCTATTGGCCTCACCATACCTGAAAAATAATACGACCTATATTTTAAAACACAGGCAGAGGGAGTCGCTGGTGTAACTCCAACAGGAGTGAGTCATGCACATCCTGTGAGCTGTTTGTGGGGTGGGGGCCTGGGAGGGTGGGCAGAGGCCGGTGGGTCCCTGGATCAGCCTTGCATCCTGGAGGTGCTTAGGGGGTTCCTGAGAATGTGAAGGACGTTTGTGTTATAGAGCAATCCACCAGGAACATCATACACAGATGAAAGAGGGAGAGAGAGAGAGAGAGAGAGAGACAGGATCCCTTTGCCATAATCCTAGTGTGACAAGAAGATAAGGAACAGGCCAGGCGCGGTGGCTCACGCTTGTAATCCCAGCACTTTGGGAGGCCGAGGCGGGTGGATCACAAGGTCACGAGATCGAGACCAACATGGTGAAACCCTGTCTCTACTTAAAATACAAAAATTAGCTGGGCATGGTGGCACACGCCTGTAGTCTCAGCTACTCGGGAGGCTGAGGCAGGAGAATTGCTTGAACCCGGGAGGTGGAGGTTGCAGTGAGCCGAGATTGCACCACTGCACTCCAGCCTAGTGCCTGGCAACAGAGCCAGACTCTGTCTCAAAAAAAAAAAAAAAGGAGAAGGAACTGAGGCACGATTGGTGGGAATGGGGCAGAGGAGACAGGTCTGAGAAGCCTTGCAGAGACACGATGGTGCGAGCATGGTGCTGGTTTAATGAGGAGGTGGGGTGGCGGGGAGGAGGCGGGGTTTGGTGAGCCAGCGCGTTGCGGGTGGCAGCTCACTGAAATGGGACCAGCTCGGTGGACTGCCTTGGAACATCTCATCCTCATGATGGGAGCCACAAGACTTTCAGATCTTTGGACTCAGGGCTCAGAAAAGCAGATTACAGTAGAGGATTAGAGTTCTGTCTGAGGCTTGTCCCTTTACATAACAGTGCTAACCTCATTTATCTTTTGTAATTGGTTGTTAAACCACTCACCAAAATTTAACCAAACGCCTAACTGCAAACAACCACGTGACAAGAAATAAGCACCTTTTATCTGTTAAGCTCGCCCCTTAGGGAACTCAAAGATGCTGTTTGTCTGTGTCCCTTAAAAAAAGTTACCACCTCCCATGTCAAAGGACCTGGGTAAGCTTGGGTTTAGAAGTGGAACAACTGTGATGAGGCATTTACAAATGGGTTTTGATTTGAAATCTGAGATTGACTGGGCAGGCATCCAATACTCTGCAATCACAAGCACTCAAAGTTCAGACAGGCCAAAAATGACAGATGAACAGAAGACAGCATCTGTGTGCCGGTTGAGGACCAGGAAGCAGAAGTGGGCCCCAAAGGCGGGGTTTCTGTCCCGGGCCAGTTGCAAAAGGGCCGTGGGAATTGTCTGGCCCTGAAACGGGGATTAGGTGTGAGCCCTGGGAGCTCACCTCCAGGTCCTGACAACTGAAAGATTAAAAAACAACCATGCGTGTGTGTGTGTGTGTGTGTGTGTGTGTGTGTGTGTGTGTGTGTGCATGCACTGCAGGGCAGGTGATCATGAGCTTTTACTGCAGTTGTGAAAAGGCCACTGCAGGACAGCCTCATAGATATTAGGTGCTTGAGAAATCCCAAGGGAGAAGATGCGATCCTTATTCCCAAGAGCTTCCAGACTATGCAGGCGACCAGGCATATGCGAAGGTTCTTCAGATACTTCTGAGGCAGAATAAACACTGTGTGAAGGATTCAAGTCGTGGCTGTAAGGGTCACAGCCATGTGAAGTGAGGGCAGATCCCCTTGGGTGGTGCAGAGAAGGTGGATGGGAAGGGCTATGCCCCAGAGTGCAGCACTCTGTCTTCTAATGCCTGTCCTTCTCAGCACCATATTCCTCCCCCTGTGTAGTGTCTTAAGAGCTGAGGTTAGGTCTCCTGCCCCAGATGGGTTCAAGCCTTAAATACCTTGGAGAATAATAAGGGTTCCTGTAGCGTCGTGCACTAGTATGGGAAGGTGCCGTATGGCGCAGCACAGGAGCCCATCCTGTCCTGAGGTGGATTTTTCTTGGCATTTTCTGAGAGGAGAAGGCACACAAGCTTTTTTTCATCTCCTAAGGAATCACCAAGTCCATTCAGCACCTTAAAAGCAGAAAAGGCAAAATGACCGTAAATAGAATGAAAAAGCAAAAAATGAAACAGTACTTGCCACATGATGACAGATGAAGAGTTAATATCTTTACTCTAAAGCTTATGTGAACGGGTATGAAAAATACTGCGGCTACAGCAGGACCTGTGCACAGGATGTATGGGAACACCTCTTCCAGGCTGGGAGATGCCGCTCCCAAAATAGAGGCAGAGAAATTCTGGGAACTTGCAGAGCTTCCCTTGCAGCTATGATATGGACATGCATCCCTGGGCACATGTCCTGGGACACCACTAAGTTGAGAAGGGTTCTGAGGCTTTGGGGAAAACACAGGAGAAAGCAGCTGCCAACATTCCTTGGCTTGTGGCGTCTTCCTTGCATCACTTTCACCACTGCTTCCTTCACACCTCTTTCTCTATTTCTGAGTTTCCTGCCTCCCTCATATAAGGACGCTGTGATTACATTAGGCTCACCTGGATAACGCCCCATGTCAAGGACTTAACTCAATCACATCTGCAAAGTTCCCTTTGCCATGATGGGCAACATATTCACAGGTTCTGGTGAGTAGGAGGGGGACATCTTTGGGGGCCATTATTCCAACCACCCCACAGGGACTTCAAGCTTAACCCGTTGAAAACTTAAATCCCTTATTCCTGTCTTCCCCAAACACTATTTGTCTTATTTTCCATGGAATCTCTGTGGCGTCAGGATCTACACAGTTGTCTGGCCCAGCAACTTGAGTGTCATCTTCGGCACCTCCTCTCTCACCTCCCACACCTTATAGCCATCTGTGAATGTTTACTGAGTGTCTACTGTGTGCCAGGCACCTGTCTAGGCTCAGAAGACATAGAGATGAACAGACTTATGGAGTCTCTGCTCAGAGGGCAAATAAGAAAATATCACTTTAGTATGCAGTGCTTTTAAAAAACAGGCAATGTGATGTGTAGACTTGCTGGAGGTTACTTTAACTTCTGTGGTCAGAGGAGGCCTCTTGGAAGATGTGACATTTAATCTGGGATTTGATAAGAAGCAATCAGTCATGCAAAAGTTTCCAGGCAGTGCAGCCAAGATTGGGGAAACAGCTTGGACAAAAGCTCTAAAGTAGGAGCAAGCTTGTGTGGTTCAAAGAGCAGGAGGAGTGTGGACGTGGCTGGAGCTCACAGCGAAGAGCGAGATGAGGCCAGAGAAGAAGGCAGGAGTGGAGCCTCCAGGGCCTGGGAGCCCGGAGCAAGGATTTTGGATGGTACCTTCAGAATGTAAGCTTTAATCTCTCGTCTCCATCTCCCGCCTGCCCTTTTAGCCTGACCAACCACCATCTCTCACTCGGGCTGTTGAAGCTGTCTTCTATCCAGACTCCCTCCTCCACCTTTGCCTCCTCTGATCCAGTTTCTACATAAACCCCAAAGTGATCTTTTGAAAAGGATGCAGTACTTGAGTGTATTCAACCTCTTTTCCAACCTCCTCGCAGTGTGCCTTTCTCTCCTGCAAAGGCTGGAAAGGTGAGGACTGTATTTCCTAGACTCCATAAACTGTAGATTCCAACTTAGGCTCTGCTTAAGGCAGATGTAGGTGATCTGAGCTAGCGCAGAGTGAGGCAGGGAGAGAGGTGGCAGGGTGCAGGCGTTCCCCTCTGCAGGTGGTTCCAGCAGGTGCGGGTGTGGGGGCTGTGGCTCTAGCAGGTGTAGGTCTAACGAGGTTGGCTCTAGTAGACGTGGGTCTAGGAGGCGTGGCTTCAGCAGGTGTGGGTCTGGCAGATGTAGCTCCAGCAGGTGTGGGTCTAACAGGTGTGGCTCCAGCAGGTGTGTGTTTAGCAGGTGCAGTGCAGATCTGCAGCTATGGTTGCAGCTGTGGCCTGTGGAAGCTGGATTGCTGCCTGTACGTTGTGCTCTGAGGCCAGCAGGTGCAGCTCATCTTCTGATTCCCCAGCTTCCTCATTGAAGTAGAGGTAATAGCTCCCCTGGTGGGTGAGTGCTGCCGTGATGTTCTAGGAATCCCTCTTTGAGACCCAGGACATGGCCTGCTCCTCCAGCCCATCTAATGACTTGTAAGCAGATAATTCTCTGTATTAGATACCTTTCTTGTCAAAAAAGCAAGAGTGATTTCTTTCATGTTTTGTGGAACTCTGAATACAAAGGCCACCCTGATCAAGTCACTTCCTGGCTTATTGCCCATAGAATAATACCCAACATCCTTCACAAGCCCATCATCCCTGGATGACTTAGAGCCTTGCCTCCTTTGGGCACACACCACTCCCTTTTCTGTTCTGGTGACTCCCTCTCATCATCCAGGTCCCAGCCTAATGTCACTTCCCCAGAGAAGCCTCCTTCTACGGTTGCCAAAACCAAGTTCCACAGACTGGTTAGCACCAACAACAGGTAAGAGTTTTCTCCCAGTTCCAGAGGCTGGAGGTCCAAGATCAAGGTGTCAGCAGGGGTGGTTCCTTCTGAGGCTCTGAGGGAAGGATGTATTCCCACCTACGCTCCTGGGCTTGTAGAAGGCCATCTTCACATCCACATGGCTTCCTTTCTGTGTGTGCAACTGTGTGTGTCCACATTTGCCCCTTTTATAAGGACACCCGTCTTAATGGACTAGGGCCCACTCTGATGACCTCGCTTAACTGAGTCAATCTACCATGACCCTAGTTACAAATTTCCATTCCATTTTCAGGTACTGGAGGTTAGGACTTCACCCGATGAATCTGGGAGGATGGACACAATTCAGCGTCTAACAGCCAGGGTCTCAATGTCTAAACTCTCGTCAAACTGCTGCTTCGCCAAAGCAATCAACTCGCTGTGTGGCGGGGCAGCCGCTGGTTGGTTGACATTTGTCCTCAGCTGGGGAGACTGTGTTGGATGGTCCATCGGTGCTCAGCACAGGGCCTGGGGCAGAGCGAGTGCTCAAGAGGTATTCGTTGGATTTGTAAATGAATGAGTTGAGGCATAAACGATTCTTTCTAATAGCTGATGAAAGACCTAAAAGGCCAATGATAAGCAAGTGGCCAAGTCACCTGACACAGTGGTTCATTACAGCTGTTAAAATGTTTCTGAAGACTTTGTGACAATGTGAGAAAATGCTTATGATTTGACATTGAATGATGTGGTCGAATACAACCATTTATGGACTATGACATGAAAAAAGAACAGAAAAAATGAGAGGCCAGTGTTGAACTCACAAAAGCAAAAAAAAAAACCCCACATAAATTGTAATCAGGTTTTCCACATTAAATGTATTAGTTCTTCTGATTCATTAAATAAACAACTTCATGTCAAAGCTAAAGGAAAATTAGCAACCTTAAAAATTGAGATCCTATGAACTACGCTTTATTCATTTTGGAGCAAAAGATGGGGATGGGAGGAAACGCACAGGGCCTGGTTGCTACTTCTTTGGGAGAATCTTATTTTTAGTAACTCACTTTGCCATTAATAAAACCATGTCTGATCATATGTAAAAATGATGTGTTTGAACTTCTTATTTTGCATATTTGCTCTTTAAAATTTTTTTAAAACATTTTTTTCTGTCTTCAGAACTAATGCCTGCTCATTAAAAACATTAAATATCAAAGTAAAACAAAAATGTAAAGCAATCTAAAATTGTGCCTCAGAGCCATAACCATTAATTACATTTTGGTAATATTCCTCCAGAATTTATTCTAAATATACTGATATGTATAGTACAAAGACACACACACAGACACACACACACACAGACACACACACACACACAGACACACACACACACAGACACACACACATTGTGCAGTAATGAATCTGCACTCTATGACAGGCCACAGACTGCTTTTTCATTTCAAGATATTTGTGGCCCATGTCTGATGGTATGGTCCCTATGCTCCCCTATCCTGCTGTTTCTACCCAAGCAGAGACTCAGATGCAGAATCATCAACCTAGGGTCTGAGAGAAGCAGCTGAGATACAGGAAGGGGCCTGGCCCTCTCCCCAAGGGCAGAATGAGCAGGTCCGGGGCCCCTGACTGGGTCATGCTCTCTGCTGCTCTGTGAGCTGGCTGTCCTTTTTTGTCAGGAAGACCAAGTTTACCACCATGTGTGCTGACGTGGGTGGATGGGCTATGTGTGGCGTCCTGGTTGGGTGGACACTGCCATGTAAGCAGCAAAAGAACAGAGCCAGGGCCATCCTGCACTTGCTAGAGTTAAAATCCCACCAAGTTTGCAGAATTCTCTAAAGCTTCCCAAGATTAATGGAGTTATTTCCATTATTCAGAGCTGTGACCAAGTTTGTGAAATTGTATAACATGGTTAAGAACATGGATTAAACATCTTTTAAGGGGGCAGTGGTGTTGGTATGGGGTGTGGGTTCTGTGTGTGTGTGTGTGTGTGTGTGTGTGTGTTAGAGAAAGAGAGAGAGAGAGAGAGAGAGAGAGAGAGAGACTGTGTGCTTTACTAGCAATTTAGTAAATTATAGTCTTCATATTTTGTTGTAAACCCATAGTCCTTGTGTGTCCTCAAAATTTCTGAATGATCAATAGACATTGTTTCATGTTTGGTGAGTAAAAAAATTATATCTTTGAGAATTTTGATACATCAGTACATCTGAAACACCTGAATAATATTTTGAGGTGTCTGATGACAAATAGTGGTTACTGCCAGGTCTGTAAATGTCTTTCTCCTCCCAAATTTGGAATAACATAAAGCCAGGTTTTAATAAATGCTTCGCAGCTTCATTTTCTCCCCCCAGATGAACTCCTCCCTGCTCTTTCTGTTTCCTGGCTTCCTCTCTCGTAACAGCATGTCCTGGGAGGACCCAGGGAACAATGAATCCCACCGCAGTGGAGGTGAATAAGGACACCTGGCTTCCAGCAGCAGGAAAACCAACCTCCATAGTGAGGACATTTGCAGTTACTTTTTAAAATTTGAAGTTCCTTATTTTAAAAAAAATCATCTCATCGTCTTATATTACAGAATATTGTAAAAGATAAACTATTAATTATCTCAAACTTTGGTCAGTTTTTCCATTAATTTAACAGAGTAACTGTTCACATTCACTCAAGGCAGAGGACAAAATTTAACAGCCAATAATTAGAAGGGGCCCTGGGGAGCATTATTCCTGTCCATGGTGCCTGTATCATCGATGTTTATTGACTTCACCTTTGAAAGTAAGCAAGACACAAACACGTCCTTTTATGTCAGAATCAGATTTGTTTGCAAGCACAGCAGCTGCGCATCACTTCACAGAGACGAAGACTTAGGTGGAGCAAGGGAAGAGGAAATGCAAAGAACCTTGAGCTCGAAGCTTTGTTGTTGCATGATCACTGGTGCCTTAGGATGTTGTTTTTCCTGTGGAACTTCTGGAGGGCAGAGAGGAGGGAATTGTTGGCTCATCTCTCGGGTCCCCCGTTCAGGTGGCGTAGCCTTATGCCTGTCGCTGAGGGGAGAGGGTTCAGGGCTTTCCCAGACAATCTGCACCTCGAGCTGGGGGCATCCACACAAGAATAACACAGTGCCTGGCAAACTTGTGGGTGGCTCTGTCACTTGGAGCTAATTAACTTGGAAAATTCTGTGTTTTGGCTGGGCATGGTGGCTCATGCCTGTAATCCCAGCACTTTGGGAGGCTGAAGTGAGTGGATCACTTGAGGTCAGGAGCGTGAGACCAGCCTGGCCAACATGGTGAAACCCTGTCTCTGCAAGAATACAAAAATTAGCCTGGCACGGTGGTGCATACCTGTAGTCCCAGCTACTTGAGAGGCTGAGGCAGGAGAATTGCTTGAACCCGGGAAGTGGAGGTTGCAGAGAGCCGAGATCAGGCGGCTACACTCTAGCCTGGGCCACAGAGTGAGACT